CACTTGTCTCATGGTCATGTAAGAAACAGAACTCCGTTGCTCTATCCACAGCAGAGGCCGAGTATATTGCCGCAGGGAGCAGTTGTGCTCAAGCTTTTTACATCAAACGGCAACTTAAGGACTACGGTATTTTCTTTGACCACATTCCAATTATGTGTGATAATACTAGTGCAATTTGTATTTCCAAAAATCCAATTCAGCATTCTCGAACCAAGCATATAGAAATCCGTTATCACTTTCTCAGAGACCATGTGGCAAAAGGAGACATTGAACTTGTGTTTGTAAATTCCAATAAACAATGGGCTGATATATTCACCAAACCTCTTCAAGAAGACAACTTTCTTACAATTCGAAGAGAATTAGGAATGACAAATATCTCTGAAATTTGACTATTCTGTGATAAGTTATCTAACCGGTTATATAATTCCTCTTAACCGGTAAGATGAACTAAACCCAGTGACTGATACTTAAACTCTCTATTCATCTAACCGGTTACCAAATTTCCTTCTAACCGGTAAGATAAGCAAAGACCAGTAGCCTCGCATTCTCATTCACTTTCCATCAACCGGTTACCAAATTCCCTTCTAACCGGTTACCAAACCACATCTAACTGGTTACATAGTCCTGCAAATCTCTTCTAATCGGTTAGATAAAGCAACATAACCGGTTACTTAAAGATCTAGATCTAAACTAATCAATCAGATTTCATCATCTAACCGGTTACATTCATTAAAATCATAAAGATTCTCAGTCATCTAAACAGTTACCACAAGGGATCTAACCGGTTACTTTAGATACAAATCTGAAGTACTCGAGTACTTCCCTCAATCTAACCGGTTAGTTGTTCATTTAATATAAAAACCATACGTCACTTTCACCAGTCCTAATCGAACACATCTCATTCTCTACTCGAACACTTCATCATCTTCTTCCCCAACCCTCAATCCAGTTACCATGGTTCGCACTCGAGGAAGTCTTCGTCCTAAAAACGTCCCCATTCGCAGTGGTCACAGTGGTCGTGGCTCCGGCAGAGGCAATCCTCAATCGTCTTCTTCCTTCTTCGTCGAAGATCCTTCCTCAGGGGAAGAATACAATCCATCCTCTTCCACTGCTCAAATACGAAAGCGCAAGCGAACTGAAAATCAAGAAGGAGCCTCTCAAGATGAAAATCCAGTCCTTGCTGCTTCCTATCTCTCATGAGAGATGGAATTGCTATTCAACACTCGGTTTCGCAACAGGGGGGTGTCTCAAGGTCGAATTTTTTATGCCGATTTCTGCATATGAGAAAATCTATCGTTCTACGACAAATTTCAGGCCTTGGGGTGGGATTCATTCATAGGAATCGAGGAACCCTACTATCCCACTCTCATTCAAGTCTTTTACACCCATCTTAAACTCAAAGACACCCACAGGTCAAAGGTGAGAACATCAAGTTTAACTATAAAACCCTAAATTCTATCTTGGGCATTGAAAACAAGGGAAAGAAGATTTATGCTCACAGATCTGAGACTGAGGTTGATTGGTATAGTGAGATGATGGCAATGATACATCTCACTCAGAATTTTTTCCGGACAAAGACTTTTCCTCTCACCTCTACTGACTTCACCGTTGAAGCCCGTCTAATTCATAATGCTCTGTTCTATTGTGTCATCCCTCGAGGCAGCGGCAGAACTCATGTATCCCATTTGGATCTGTTCTTGATTTGGTGCATTACTTTGGGCATTCAGCTCAATTTGGGCTATATTATTTTTCAGCACCTTCTTCAGTTCATTGCAGATCCGGATGATACTACCTCCACTCCCGGGAAAACTGGCAAACTTGCCACATTGCCCTACGGCATGTTTCTGACTCGAGTATTTAAACACTTCAACGTCTCTCTTGACTCAGAATTCCACAAAAAGGACCCTACTCGTGAAGATAGGCTGTCCTTAAATTTTTTTTAAAATATGCAGTGTCGCAAAGTCAATCGAGTCTGGGAAAGACTTCTTGCAGCTCCCGCACCTGATGCTCCTGCACCCGAGGCCGATCCTTTTCAGCACCAGGCATTTGACTTTGACAATTTTGATGACTTCTTTGCAGAGGGTTCCACAGTGCCTCAACTTCAGCCTCCCATTCCTCTTGAAGTGACTCAGCTACTTAGTGATCAGCATGCCGAGACTATGGCGGCTATCCGAGCCCTAGGTGACAGAATCACCGCTTTTGAGACTCACGCTGACAGTGTTGGGACGTCCTTCATCTCTCGCTCCCATGATTAGTCATCCGATCTCAATATTGTCATTCAGTATGCTATGGAGACCTATTATCTCATTGATTGCCGGCTGGCCGTCCATAATGCTAATGCCGAAATTATGAAGGATTTTTTAAAATTAATGGCCGAGCGCATTCAAATCATTCCTCCGGGATTTGTGTTTCCGGAACAACGTCGTCGATCTGATGTCCCACCTCCTCCTCCACCTCCTCGTCCCAAGCCCCGTGACCCCGTAGTTGAAATTAATGATTGATGTGATTATTGCTAGACAATTTTATTTTGATTCTTATCTTGTCTTATCTGAAATCCCCCCTCCCATACCTTTTTGAGATGTCAAATGGGGAGAATAAGCTTGATGTGTTTTGATGTGATGTCACTATCACTTACTTTTGAATATGAAATTAACATGATGACTTATTTTGGCAGAAGTATATACTTAATGCATTTTTAGGCCTTATTCATCTTATGCACTAAGATAGGGGGAGAAAATTCAAACATGGATATTATATAATTATTTTTCTTATGTATGAACACATTAATGTTTTGCCATCATCAAAAAAGGGGAGATTGTTGACCCTAAAGGTCATTCAAAGATCGTCTAATAATTTTGATGATTACAAAACATTATGAAGTGTTCTCGGTCTAATGTTTGCATTGAGTTTGCAGGGCAAAGGAAATAAAATACGCCAAGCAACCGAGACAAAGAAACCATTTCAAGAGAAATCCAATCTACTCCAAGAATAATGCAATCATGATTGACTTGAAGACAATGGGTGGATAGATCGATGAGTGATTAGGATTTTCTGTCAAAGTAATCTATGAATTAATTTGAAGCTCAAATCTATTGGCTCATGCATTTTCATTCACATCTTTCAAGATTCTGCACTTAAAAAGAAAAATAAAAAATCTCCTTAGAATCTCATAACCGGTTAGGAAGTTTCATAAACCGTTTAGATGAGCTAAAACAGAAAGCAACATATGATCGAAGGTATCTCATAACCGGTTAGGAAGTTTCATCTAACCGTTTAGATGAACAAAACAGAAAGCTTGATCTTCTTATCCGCACCTTGTAACCGGTTAGAAGAATTGTTCTAACCGTTTAGATTAACATACAAAACATTGTATCTACCTTCTCATAACCGGTTAGGAGAACTCAAGTAACCGTTTACATGTACTTAAACAGAATACGATTTTTTCTTAGCCAATGATGTAACCGGTTAGAAGAAGCTATATAATCGGTTAGATATGCGTTAACAGAACGATACTTATCTTGAACTTTGATGTAACCGGTTAGGAAGCCTCTTGTGTTCAAATAGTTGGCCTTAACTAAAGAAGTCCCTCAGCAGATGTAACCGGTTAGGAAAAATCCTCTAACTGGTTAGATGAGATCCAATCTCACTTCTTCTAATTTTTAGAAACTAAAGCAGATCTGAAGTTGATATATTTATTGCTCTAACGGTTACACAAACATTTAATGCTCTTCAACCTACCACAACAGATATATTTGAGTAATTAATGCATTTCATTTTTCTTGAACTCTATAAAAAGACAAGCATTGAAGAAGGCTAGTGCGCAGTTGAGAGAATTCAAAAATATCATTCAAAGCATTTACTCAAGCATTCATTTCACTCAACCATACCAACTTGAGCTTCATTTTAATTCATTTATTACTTTAGCCTTTTGAGCTTACATTTGTACATCTATCTTGAGAAAGATTCATTCTTGTATCACAATTAAAATTTCTTCTACAAACTTGTAAGGGTTGGTGTAACCCAAAGAAGCCTAGAAGAAGGGTGTTCTTCTAGCAAAGAAGAGAAACAAGTGTTTACTTTATGTAAAGGTTTGCTCTCCACTCGTAAGGAGAAGCCATAGTGCATCGGGAAGTCTCAAGAGGGATCTTGAGCTGAGGAGTAGGAGTTTCCGAACCTCGCTAAAATCACCGAGTCGTTGTTTGAAATTTTTCTTCTCTTATCTCTTTTACAATTGTGCTATTAATTGTTTACTTTCATATCTTATATGTTGCATAATTGTTTGAATGGTAGAATAGAATTTGCAAATCTATAAATTACGAAAATTGGCCATTGACTCTATTCACCCCACCTCTAGAGTCAATTAGTGGTTAACATTTATAATGTTAATAATTTATAGGTTTGCCACAAATTCTTATCGTGCCATGATAAATATGTGGCTTATTTTTGGTATTTGTCACAATATATATTTCTGGCTATTAAATTAAATTTTATTTTTTAATAATAGAATAGCCACGGATAAACTCCGTGGCCTATTTTGAATAGTTACCACGACATATATTCGTGGGCAATTAGATTTCTAGCCACGAATGAACTCTGTGGCCTTTTTGGATATTTGCCACGACGTATATTCGTGGGTAATTAGATTTATAGCCACGAATGAACTCCGTGGGAAAAGGGTTAAATTAGCCACGATATATATTTTCGTTGCAAAAGTATTGAATTAGCCACAATTAATTCCTATATCGAGATTGCTAATTGCCACGAAAGTATTGTTATTTAGCTATGAAATAGCTTGTGGCGATAGGAGGTATTTTACCACAAGTTCAAATTTTGTGGCAAAAGTTCCACATTTTGCCACGAAAATTTTTATTCGTGGTTATTTGCAATTTGTGACGGGGCTACGCCCACGACTGAGCTACGAGCTATTTCTTGTGGCTAAAAGGCTTTCGCTACGAAATTTGAAGGTTTTTGCCACGAAGTGTCTTGTGGTGTAATACCCCTAATTTTAAAAGGATAGTCTCGGTATTTATTTATTTATTTTTATTATATTTTTTTTATTTGTTTAATTGATTATTTGACTAATTGTTTATGTGTTTAATTGAATTAAGTGTTACTTGATTAATTGGCTACTTATCTATGTGTTATTTGTATTTTGTCTAGGTGTTATTTGTATTATTTGTTTAATTAGATTGTGTGCTTAAATGATGTATTTGATTAATGTTAATTAATTGTAAATTAAATGTTTTCATTTCTTTTATTATTTTATTTTATTTTTCTTTTATGGTTATGGTTAGTGGTAATTGGTCAACCAATTGGATCCCATGGACTGCTTGGATAGGAGGTTGGATGGGTATGGATAATTATCCATGGATAGTTGTATATGTATATATATAGATATATATGTATATACATATATATAAAAAGGAAAGTAATTTATTAATATTATAGTAACTTTAGTATTAATAAATAATCTGATGTATATATTTTATATATTTATATAATAAGGATATACATATATTTTATACGTAACATGTTTTAAGTTACCTTTTTAATATTATGGTAACTTTAGTATAAATAAATAATCTGATGTATATATTTTATTTATTTAATGAGAATACAGATAGATTATATACTTAACATGTTTTAAGTTACCTTTTAATATTATGGTAACTTTAGTATTACTAAATAATCTAATGTATATATTTTATTTAATTAATAAGGATATACATAGATTATATACGTAACATATTTTAAGTTACCTTTTTAATATTTTCATTTTTATTTTTTTTTATTAAGTTGACTTGGATTGGGAAAAGGAATAGGGTTATTATTTAGCCTATAAATACACAACTATAGGTTGAAAAAGGAGTGAAAATATATCACGTAATATATTCTAGAGAGAGAGTTAGAGAGAGAAGGAGAAAGAGGGAGGAAGGAGGAGAAAACCCTTTAGAGAGAAGATCAAGGAAGAAGAAGTTTAACTTTCAATCCGAAAGTTTAAGGCAAGTTCTTCTTCTATCTCTTTCCCTTTGATTCGTGTTTCTGTACATGCCTAGGAAATTCCAGGATTTACTAAACACATAAAAATTAAATAATTATGCATGTTTAATTGGATTAAAGTATAGGTTTTTGTGAAATTGGGTCATATCTGTTCTTGTGTTATAAATTAAAAAAATGTATGATTTTGATTTGATTTCTGGTGTGAATTTTTATATGTTTGAATTATGTATTTTTCATATATGTGGAATGATGGAACGTAGAAACATGCCTAGGATTCCTGAATATTAAATAGGGACTAGGTTTGGGTTTAAATAAATTTAAATACACTCAATCATAACGATGCTTGCTATTTAAATGTTTACACAAACGAATGGATTTAATCTTTTAAAATGTTTTAGCAATTGAGAATAAATGTGTAGGATGAATTGGATATGGAGAATGCTTATTTGACGATATAATAAAATATCATCATGTATAAGATTCAGTTTGTGTAGGACATATGATATATGAGCTTAAATAAATAATAAGTCATTCATATTCTGTGATAACTTGATATCATATTATCATAGTTATTTCTGGAATGTTTGATGTATTTCTTTAATTATTACATCAATTGTTGGATTGTGTGGTTTAATGCACCGGTATGGGACGGTGGCATTCTAGGGACGGATTAACTTATCAGTTAAGTCCTACCTATTTTATTATATAAGGGAATGGATTAACTAAAATGTTAAGTCCTACTTATATTCAAGTCAGGTCAGCTGAACAAGTTGAATGACTTATGGAGGATTAATTTATACTGGATAGGATGGTCACCTTATATTCAAGTCAGGTCAGCTGAACAAGTTGAATGACTTATGGAGGATTAATTTATACTGGATAGGATGGTCACTAGATTTTATATATATAAGTATGGTGCCATGATATGAGCTTGAGTCTCAGGATCAGTGGTTAGGGTGCGTATATCGCCAGGGATGTGTAGCTAGATATAGTGTAGTTGTGTACCCTGGTAGGTCTAAGTACTCATGCCCACTATATGTGCGTTTTGCATGTTGCCTACTATTCAGGTTGAGACAACCCTATAGTCTAGTGAGGTTCCTTTAGTGTGTATATATATATATACGGACTACTAGTTATTGTTGGATTGACTAGGATGTATACGTGTATCGGATCTCTGCTTGGACTGTAGTAGAGTAGAACTTGTTTGTGGGCCTGACCCACCATTATTTTTCAGGTGTTCGTCACGAGTAGAGGTTGTTCATGTTGAGCGGGGATCAATCTACTTCATTCTTCCGATGCTACATAGGAGTTCCTTTATGATTCAGTTTCCTGTTTTAGAATACTGTCATTTGTTTAGTTTGGATTTTCTAGGGGTCCACACAGTATGGATTCCCGAGTTGTATTTTGGAGGATCAGTTTTATCAGAAGAGTTTATTAATTAATGGAAATATATTATGAGGTTTATTATTAGATTATCATTTTAGTTTCTTGTCAGCATTTTATTTATTCTTCTTTATTCTTTTGTACTCTGTGTTCGGTTATTATCAATTTGTTTTGATATCTTCGGGTATTCGGGCGTGGGCCTGGCCAACCCACATTCGGAAATTCGGGGGTATCACAGTTGGTATCAGAGCACTCCAGGTTCAAGTGTCCTTAGGAGTGTCTTTCGTTATGTGACTTCCGCGTTGCGTCTCTTAAAACTTAGAGCTCATATTAGGATTCGTTGTACTCTATTTACGGTTCGTTAGGAGGAGCTGATGTCAATTAGATTTTGTAGTTACAGAATGGTTGGCATTAGGAGGAGGATTGGGTTCAAGGCGAAAGCAATAAAAACCCAAAGAAGTAAAGGAGTAAGTTATCGATTTCATTGCCCGAAAGCAGAGTTAAGGATTGATGGTTTAGGTTCGTTTGGCGTTACTTTAAAAGTATAAGCCAAGGAAGGATTTAGGTGTACGTGATAGGTCATCGCATATCGGGGCTAACACGACTTCAGTTGATCTCAAAAAGGAGACAAGCGAGGAGTAGGAGCCGAAGATGATCCTAATGGAGGAGATTTATATGCATCCAATAGAGAGGGTATTAAATCTTGAAGATGGATGATCGCGCGAGGTGATCTGAATTGCTAAGTAGTATAGCGAATGTTATTAGTAGAATTAGGGTTGATCAATCTACAAATAATTAAGCTTTCTTATCATCTCTAAAAGAGGTATATAAGAAGTATTGTTCAGGAGTTTGGGGATCGGATGTGTTCTTATCAGAACGAAATACATAATTTTTAAATCACATACAAAAAGGCATATGGATTATGTTGTGACGTTCTAATTCACTTTATAAAGCCAAGTTAGATAGTTTACATTCCGTGTATAGGGAGGATGAGGGTTAAGCCCTTAGTATTTGCTTAGACTAACAAATGTTGCTTTTAAGCTATGTTTTAAAGGATATGTTTCGAGGTTAAATGATTATTTACAAAACTATAAAAGGAAATTTTGAAACAATCTAGTAAGGTTGATTTCAAAGGAGACTTTCTTTTCTAGAAAGAACGATGTCCTAAGTAGGAGTATATTTTGTTCTGTTGTGTTTATCATACGTGCTTTATGTTATTTTATTTATTTATTTATTTATTTATTTATTTATTTATTATTATTTTTTTTTGTTAATTACTCGGGATTTGGTATGTGGTTTAGTTGGGGACATAAGTGTGTGATCAATCAATTATTGTTTTAATAACATGGAGTCATAGCGCTATTTACGCTAAATTTGTGAGCATACGGTCATAGGATTTGGTAGATACACATAAATCTAACTAATCTATTGGACCTGGACATGTGTCATTATGGTGCGTTTTGGGATGGGATAATTAAACCATCACTACGGGTCAAACAATCTAGAACGATTAATTTGATATACTTTACGTTAGGTGTGGATTCGTATCATATTACAACGCCATGATATTGGTGATTGTTAATGTTTCGGTATGCGTGAGGTAGTGGTAAATAAAGATCACTAAAACGCCATGATGATATATCAGAGGTGCTGGATTTGCTGAACATCTTCTTGAAAATTTTAGAAGTTGTTACCAAGTCGGAAGGAGGATTTAGTACTGGATTAAGTACTTATTGGAATGACAGCGAGTGAGTATAGGAGATTGAATAAGTATTCAGCACTAAATTCTTAATCAAGAATTTATTCAAGAGGGTGTGTCATTAGGAGGAATTTACCGGTGTTGCACATGGAAGAGGAAGCTAAGTATTTTTATTTCCATAAATAATATGGAATTATTTTTTTTAGTCACAATTTGCAACAAATAGTTGTTGCAAGGAAATTGATGACTTATGTGGAGGATGGAAAGATTTCATATTCTTTTGAAGTTAGACAAAGAAGTTGGATTGACACTAACTTGTCTTAAAGAAGCAGGGTGTGTCAAAGATAAGATGGTAAGACCAAACACCTATATAAAGATGAGGTGCATGGTATATATGGAAAGGTCGTAGTTTGTTGACTTTTGTTGAGTTAAAGTCATAGTTGACTATTGATAAATGGAATTACCGATTGACTTTCAATATCGGTAAGTTTATCACAGATCAGTAGTGGATAGATTTAGTTGCAGAATTCGCTTTTGAAGATGCTCCAATTTAAATAATGGGTACAGACGAAAACTGGTGGTACTGGATTAACAGTACTTTCTGCAGACAAATTGGATGGAGGATGCAAAGACTGAGTTTCACAACTCTTAGTTCTTTATTCACCCTAGTAGAAACATGATGCTTCACAGTATGAAGCAGATGTTTGGAGGACAGGCAGGAAGAGGAATATAGTGTTTTTTCTCTAAGTCTAATATTTATTAAATAGTAGAGATGGACCATCAGAGATCACTGGATTCTTGCAGCTATTTTCTATACTGAAGTGGAAATGACAGAGCATTTTCACGGATTTAGTTGAGGGATTGCTGATTTGATGCAAGGGTCAGGATTCTAGATGGGATATTGGTTGACTGATAAAATTAAATCAGTTTCATTTTATCTATTTTGATCGAGCTGGTAAGATATCAGTTCATACGAATATAACGGATCACGAGACGGTTTAGATATATAGAAGTGGTAATTCACACTTTATATCAAGTTCTGTCTGGTGGAAGCAATTATGGAAGTGGATGCTCTTAACAAATGATAGAATATTTAAATCTTTCGATTAGTTGTTAAGTTATTAGATGCATTTATAGCAGGTGTAATAATAACACTTGTTATTACTACGGTAGTTGAGGAGTTCAATTTTGAATATCGGAGCTAACCTTCGAGAAGGCGTTACCTTACTCAGATGGAGTTTAAGGTACTGGAGGAGGAGTTAGTAGTTTCTATAAATAGTGATATGACGGTCGAGCGACTGAGATGGAAATTTATAATTTTTTTTTTTGGTACACCCAGACGGTTAGAAGGTACATCACGACATCAAATATCGGTTTTGGTGAACAGGTACGGATAGGGACGTGTCTATAATTGCCCTAAGTGTAAAACCTGCTACAAAGGTGGAAAGTTGATCATTAGATATCATAGGAATCTTTAGCCACTTCCTATACCAAATATGGAAGTTGAACTAAACAGGAGTGATAGTCGGTGGGAATGATCGACATTGATTTGGAATTTCAATTTTCCATATGGAATCCGAGTGGTGGATTGAGAAAGATTGCTTGAGGACATAAATTTGAGTGATGCTTATTTTAGAACTTCATAGTAGTTTTATAGTTCAGTGATAGTGGTGTTATAGCATGTGGATGTCCATATTAGTGGATGCAAAGTGCTATTTCGAAGGAGCTTTATGAAGATTTTAGAGTAGCAGCTCTACTTCATAAATATAGACGGGGGAATTAATCGAGAGATTAAATTAGACCATAAAGGATATGTTTGAGGCGTATATCCTAGATTTTCATGGACTGTTGGAAGAATTTACTTCACTTGTCGGAATTTTGTCTGTGATATTGTTGGCACAAGGAGGTTAGTGTGACAACTTTGGAGGTTTTGTATCTTTCACAATGCATACCTCTCATTTGTTGGTTGGAAATGGAAGTAAGGGTTGTACAATTAGACCTTGACTTCATTTAAAAATATGTCGGAAATAGATACTTCCCTTTATATTGAACTGCGCGCGGTTGGGAAGCAACAGTAGGATGTTGTAAATAGTTGAACTCGTATACTAGAGTTTTTCTATCAGGGAGTAGTTTGCTCGTTCTGTTTTCTATGTAGGAAGAAAGACGATTTTTGGAGAAATGTCAATTTTACTTATTACATTGACTTTTACACGATTGTGTTTCGCAATTGAGGCAGTCACCTCTGAATTAGCGTTACCAAATTATTAGCGCTGGGTGCATAGGAGTTTGTGCGTATATTCTATGGCACTTGGAGGTATGTAGATCATTCCCTTGTCGACATAGGAGGATTACGTTGTTATTTGATACGACCTACACATTGTATGATTATTGTGTTTCTTAAAATATAGGAACTCTGTATACCACTGGGTATATTAGAGTTAAGTGGAGCCCTTATAGTAAGGTTGCGTCTATTTGGGAATATGATGATGTTTTTCGCTCACAGTTTCCAAGCATAATAGAAGAAAGTAAGGGCGAATTCCGAGGACGGAATTCCTTTTATTAGGGGGGAAAAATGTAATACCCCTAATTTTAAAAGGATAGTCTCGGTATTTATTTATTTATTTTTATTATATTTTTTTTATTTGTTTAATTGATTATTTGACTAATTGTTTATGTGTTTAATTGAATTAAGTGTTACTTGATTAATTGGCTACTTATCTATGTGTTATTTGTATTTTGTCTAGGTGTTATTTGTATTATTTGTTTAATTAGATTGTGTGCTTAAATGATGTATTTGATTAATGTTAATTAATTGTAAATTAAATGTTTTCATTTCTTTTATTATTTTATTTTATTTTTCTTTTATGGTTATGGTTAGTGGTAATTGGTCAACCAATTGGATCCCATGGACTGCTTGGATAGGAGGTTGGATGGGTATGGATAATTATCCATTGATAGTTGTATATGTATATATATAGATATATATGTATATACATATATATAAAAAGGAAAGTAATTTATTAATATTATAGTAACTTTAGTATTAATAAATAATCTGATGTATATATTTTATATATTTATATAATAAGGATATACATATATTTTATACGTAACATGTTTTAAGTTACCTTTTTAATATTATGGTAACTTTAGTATAAATAAATAATCTGATGTATATATTTTATTTATTTAATGAGAATACAGATAGATTATATACTTAACATGTTTTAAGTTACCTTTTAATATTATGGTAACTTTAGTATTACTAAATAATCTAATGTATATATTTTATTTAATTAATAAGGATATACATAGATTATATACGTAACATATTTTAAGTTACCTTTTTAATATTTTCATTTTTATTTATTTTTATTAAGTTGACTTGGATTGGGAAAAGGAATAGGGTTATTATTTAGCCTATAAATACACAACTATAGGTTGAAAAAGGAGTGAAAATATATCACGTAATATATTCTAGAGAGAGAGTTAGAGAGAGAAGGAGAAAGAGGGAGGAAGGAGGAGAAAACCCTTTAGAGAGAAGATCAAGGAAGAAGAAGTTTAACTTTCAATCCGAAAGTTTAAGGCAAGTTCTTCTTCTATATCTTTCCCTTTGATTCGTGTTTCTGTACATGCCTAGGAAATTCCAGGATTTACTAAACACATAAAAATTAAATAATTATGCATGTTTAATTGGATTAAAGTATAGGTTTTTGTGAAATTGGGTCATATCTGTTCTTGTGTTATAAATTAAAAAAATGTATGATTTTGATTTGATTTCTGGTGTGAATTTTTATATGTTTGAATTATGTATTTTTTATATATGTGGAATGATGGAACGTAGAAACATGCCTAGGATTCCTGAATATTAAATAGGGACTAGGTTTGGGTTTAAATAAATTTAAATACACTCAATCATAACGATGCTTGCTATTTAAATGTTTACACAAACGAATGGATTTAATCTTTTAAAATGTTTTAGCAATTGAGAATAAATGTGTAGGATGAATTGGATATGGAGAATGCTTATTTGACGATATAATAAAATATCATCATGTATAAGATTCAGTTTGTGTAGGACATATGATATATGAGCTTAAATAAATAATAAGTCATTCATATTCTGTGATAACTTGATATCATATTATCATAGTTATTTCTGGAATGTTTGATGTATTTCTTTAATTATTACATCAATTGTTGGATTGTGTGGTTTAATGCACCGGTATGGGACGGTGGCATTCTAGGGACGGATTAACTTATCAGTTAAGTCCTACCTATTTTATTATATAAGGGAATGGATTAACTAAAATGTTAAGTCCTATTTATATTCAAGTCAGGTCAGCTGAACAAGTTGAATGACTTATGGAGGATTAATTTATACTGGATAGGATGGTCACCTTATATTCAAGTCAGGTCAGCTGAACAAGTTGAATGACTTATGGAGGATTAATTTATACTGGATAGGATGGTCACTAGATTTTATATATATAAGTATGGTGCCATGATATGAGCTTGAGTCTCAGGATCAGTGGTTAGGGTGCGTATATCGCCAGGGATGTGTAGCTAGATATAGTGTAGTTGTGTACCCTGGTAGGTCTAGGTACTCATGCCCACTATATGTGCGTTTTGCATGTTGCCTACTATTCAGGTTGAGACAACCCTATAGTCTAGTGAGGTTCCTTTAGTGTGTATATATATATATACGGATTACTAGTTATTGTTGGATTGACTAGGATGTATAAGTGTATCGGATCTCTGCTTGGACTGTAGTAGAGTAGAACTTGTTTGTGGGCCTGACCCACCATTGTTTTTCAGGTGTTCGTCACGAGTAGAGGTTGTTCATGTTGAGCGGGGATCAATCTACTTCATTCTTCCGATGCTACATAGGAGTTCCTTTATGATTCAGTTTCCTGTTTTAGAATACTGTCATTTGTTTAGTTTGGATTTTCTAGGGGTCCACACAGTATGGATTCCCGAGTTGTATTTTGGAGGATCAGTTTTATCAGAAGAGTTTATTAATTAATGGAAATATATTATGAGGTTTATTATTAGATTATCATTTTAGTTTCTTGTCAGCATTTTATTTATTCTTCTTTATTCTTTTGTACTCTGTGTTCGTTTATTATCAATTTGTTTTGATATCCTCGGGTATTCGGGCGTGGGCCTGGCCAACCCACATTCGGAAATTCGGGGGTATCACATGTGGCAAGAATCCTAATTTGTTGTAGTGACTTCAAATTACAAAATTTACAAGAATCAGAAGTTTAAAAAATCAAAACCCATATCTTTTAGTTTCAATTGCCTGCTATTCCAGTTTGGGTTCGCCGTTCGCAAGCTTCAGCCGCTATCTCTCAACTCTTAAGCTTGCCCCCTTCTCTCTCTGCAATTGCTAACTTGTATGAATGGGTTTTTAAAAATAATTTTGAGGTAATCACCATAATCTCAAAGATTCATTAAAATAAAGAATATCTAAATTCGAAACACATAATGACTAACAAGTGTGAGCAAATCCCAGATTGAAGAACAAGTTGGGTAATGAAAATTTTGAGAGAAACAGAGAGACGAATCATAGAAATTTTGAGTTTTTTAAACAAAATTTACAGATCTAAGAAGATATATATATATATATATATATATATATATATATATATATGAGGATGAGAGGGGAAGAGAAAATACAGATATGAGAATTTACCCGGTCACCGTCGATAATCGCTGTCGTTGTAGATGAGAGGGAGAAAGAGGTCGTTGCAAATGAGAGGGAGAGAGAGACAACAGGGCAACACAACCATAGAGCAATGGATAGGAAAGCAATGGACAGAGATAGAAAGCCGTTCCAAACGATGTTGTACAGAGTGATAGAAGACTTGCCAAAAAAATTGGCAGCTCCTATATCTGAGAGCATATTTGACATTCTCAAAATTTGAGAGCTCAAATGAAAGCCCATTGGAGCCCACTTTTACACCTCTCTTAAAATTTGAGTTTAGCAGCCCAAATGAAAGAGCATTGGAGTTATTCTTAGGAACCTACAAAATTGTCAAACATTCCATATTAGTATATGAAATTGGAGGAGAGTATGAAAATAGTATTCTTTGTCTTCTCCCCCAATTTCATATATAGATATGATCGGTCTTCAAAACATTAATTTTAAACCCAGAAATTTTTTTGAGGGGGGCAAACTTGTATAGTGGGTCATTTTTGTAATTTCAATGGGGTTTCTTCATATATTTTTAAAAATTTAAAGTATAAAATGCAAAAAAAAAAGAAAAAAAAAAAATCAGTTGGGACGAATTATAATTTTAGTGGAGACATTTTCGTAAATTCATAAAAATTTGAAGTATAAAATGCAATATATATATGAATTGTAATTTTAGTGGGGACATCTTTATAAATTTTCAAAAATTTAAGATATAAAATAAAAATATAAAAAATTCAGTTGGGCCATCCGCCCCACTAGTCCTACGTTGGATCCATCTATTTACAACAAAATTAAAAACCGACAATCTGTTGCTGCCATATCAAGAATATCTCCAAGAATGTGAACCAGAGCAATATCATCGTGACTATGCTGGCGTGAAAGCTGGGCTAGAGCATGAACGACTCCATCACCATGTCTAAGGATATGACTAAGTGAATAAAAGGAAAATTGCCTTAGCACCACTTGAATATCTGACGAAATAGAGTGATTTCAACATGCCCACAAGCCACTCTATTCACTGCTTGGACCACCAACAATGAGTCACATTCAAACCAGATATGACCATAAGAAGACGATAAAGCCCATAGAACCGCTTTACGGAGACAAATGGCTTTAGCCAGAGTAGCACTAGAAGCCAGAAAAGGAGAAAAAACTACTGCCTATAGAATGGTTCCCCTAGAATCCTGAAAAACAGTACCCCCACCCCTAACATGGGTAAAAGATAAAAATGAAGTATCCACATTACATTTAATAATACCCTCTGTGGGAGGCAACCAACGGGAAGGAGAAGAATGATGAAACAAAGTAGAACAAGTTCCAAACTTAGACAAGGTCAAATTGAGAAGTGGAGAAGAGGAAGCTTCCTTAAACTCCCAAAAAGAAGAGCAAGCCACCGAAACAACCCTAGAGGGGTCAAATAGCAGCTCGTTGAAAACAAGCTTATTTCGAGCCTTCCAAATACCCCAGCAGCAAAAGGTCACCAACCCCAACACATCTTGATCCTCATTTGTAGATGCCCACATCCCCACTAATGTCATCCACAAATCCGCAAATGAGGAAGGGGGATCAACCGTAAAATCAAACCTTAGAGAAGATCATTGTAGAGAAGATCGCTTAATCTCTTGTAATAAAAGGGAGAGGAAATGTTAATTTGGATATATGTTATAATTTGTAAGGTCAAAATTGCGATCACGTCATTTATCACTTAAATGCCTTGTACACCTTCCAATAAGTGAATTTCAAAAGCTTTTGTAGCTTTCATGGAACAAACTTTTGATGGGTTGGGCGTTTTAAAGAAGATTGTTTGAAAATATTTATCAAACACAAATTATTTTAGTGAAATTTCTTTCTAGGTTTAGAAACCCGTTTTAGATATGGCTACAACTCGGGCGGGTTGGGCGAGCTTGGGATTCATCTCGGGTTAGGTTCATATAGAAAATCATCAGTCCAAGCCCAACTTAAGCTGCCTAAGCCCAACCCATACATAATTTGTCTAGCCTGAGCCCACCTGAGAAGAATTTGTGTATAAAAAATAAATCAATTAATACTGCACCCATGACTTGAACTTAAGACCTCAAGCATAAATCCCAAGCACACTGCCAACTTGGCTACCACACTCTTGTAACTTAAGTATAATTATAAATATATATAATATTTTTAGGCTAGGGTTAGGCTTCGGGCTTCATTCATATCAACCCAAGCCCAGCTCGACTTGAATTCGGGCTCAAAATATATAGTCCGGGCCTAAACCGAAATTAGAAAAACATTGCCCAAGCCTGCAAAATTTTGGGCTGGGCTCAGGTTATTTTGGGTTGGGCCCACCTGAGTTGCAGCCCTAGTTTTAGAGTCCCAAGAAGTAGGGTTGCAACTCGGATTGGTTGGACGAGTTTGAGATATAACTTGAACTCAACTCACCATATGAAATACTAAATCCTAACTCTATCTTCAACCCTAACTATTCAGGCCGAGCTCAATCCATCATTCTACGTTTTAATTCGGGTTTAGAATTCGAGTCAAAAATTCAGATTAATTCGGGTTACTAATATGGCTAATTTTCACACCGAAAATTTAATATAATCTTAAATTAGTTTTATGTTAAATTACTCTTAAAAAAAAATTAAAGACTTTTTATAAATTTTTAATAAATTACAAACAAATTCTTATAAAATTAAATTATCTTAAATGTTAAATAAATTAAGGAAGTTTAAAGGAAAAAAAGATACTCATAGTTTAAATATTATATATAATGTATATAAAATTAAAAATATATATATATGAAAATAGTATTAGAATTTGGGTTCGGGTTACTAGTGCATCAATCCAAACTCGGCCCTAATTAAATTCGGATTGAAAATTTTCAACCCAAGTCCAACCCTAATTGCAAAAATAATTATCCAAACCTACAAAAAATCAGACTGAACTCAAATTGCCCAATTAAGTTTCACCCCTCCGAGATTCTTTCTGTTCCATTCAATTAATGAATTACGTTGCAAAAATATTATGTCAACGTTGGTTCATTAACCGAACCGAATGGGACCAGGACGTATGTGGTTTGGTTCTACTAGGATTTTATTCCAATTAAAAAAACACTCCATTTGCGTCCCATGTATTGGGTGAAGCCCATTCTACTTCTAGTTGTAGCTTGGCAAGATGATTGTAACGGATTGTCCACTCCACCCATGCCCTATGTTGACATGTTGTGGTCCTTACTCATAGGTTGGTGGTGTGCCAAACAAAACTTGAAATATAATTATGATATAAATGCCATTAATTTTTGTACCACTAATGCGATAGCTATTGAAATTAATACTTAAAAATTAGATAAATTTATCTAAGGCATATTCTTAAGGGCGTTTGTTATCTTTCACCTTCGATTTTGAGATATATTATAATATAAATATTTGTTAATTTGAAAATTCACAGTGAGTGAGTAATGTATTCAAACTATAGTGTAAGTTAATGTAATTTATCTTATTATCTGTTTATATAAAAGAAAGATAAAATTATTAATTTATAAAATTTGATTATCTTTTTATATAAGTGAAGGGTAAAATTATTATTTAAAAAATTTGGTAACGGATCCTTTATCATGGAAGTTAATATGAGTATAATTTATATGTTTATTTATTCTTTGAATAAATTACACTGTCCTTTATTAAGGTTTGAATAAATCTCACAGAAGTAGAGTATTTCAGATTTATTACTTTCACATTGTTGAGGTTCAGAAACTTCCCTCAAACCCTCTTCATCAAAACTTGTAAAAAAAAAAATCAGAAAATGATAAGTAGCCCCCTTACACTCATTTTTTTTAATTTATTTTTTTCCATCGTTGCTCCTTGAAATAGGGTAAAAAAGTCATTCTCAGGGTTTGATTTTCTGTGATCAGACCAATAACGTTGTCGAGATCAGTGGGTGTGCACGCAGCTGATCATCGCTCTTCTTCGATTCGTGAAGTGTCCTGTTCTTGTTAAATTGGCCATCTTTCTCTGCTTGATAAGCTCGATAACAAGCAATCTCTAACGTTTCGATTTCCACACAAACAGGTACTTCCTCACCATATACATACATATATATATATATACATATATATATATATATATATATATATTATATGTTCTCGGTTGAAATAAATTACAGAGTAGTCGATTTTATCTTCCGGTGTTTCTTTAAATGGCTGTTTGGTGACTCAAAATTCGTAGAAAAAATAATGAAATTTCGGAATCTTTTAGCATGTTAAAGTTGAATTTCTTGCGGGATTCGAACCTTTCTTTTTCCGGTTCTTTTCTCTGATAACAAAAGGTGATTACTATTTTATTTTCTCTTCTATTTTTTTTTTCTTTTTCTAATTTGTTTTTTTCTTATGTGGATTAGACCTTTGTAGTTTTTCACTCCAATGTAGGTTTAAGTCTGAACATAAATTTAGATTTATTGAGATTATATTAAATTACACAGAATAATACATTGGTTACGATTGGTTTGGGTTTGGATTTGAATTTTAATTCTTTTGTGAAATTTATGAGTTTCTATTCAGGAATTATTATTATTATTTTTATTTTTTTAATTCGGAACGGCTAGCATTGTAAAAGATATATTGGTGTTGTACGTTTAATGAGACATTAGTGTGTCAAGTAAGGATGTTTAGCTTTTGTTGATATTTTTTCTAAAAGGTTTTGGCTACATATGTAGGAAGGAGAGAAACTAAAATTTTGAATATTCAAATTTTCATTATTTTTTACATGAGGAAACAGTAAAATATTCAGCTGATTAAGTAACTTTAATTGTTTGGTTTGTTTAAGTTGAGTCTTTATCGGAAACCAAGACAACATATAAAATTCGGATTCAGAATTTTCTTTTCTTTTCTTCTAGCATTTTCAGTTTTCTTAGTAACCAAACAGAGAAACATGGAAACGTGGTTGCTGATTTACTGTAGACTTTTATCTACTTAATTCTGTATTCTGCCTATTATGTGCTACACATTGTATGATTTTAAAACATGGGATAGATTTCGTATAGTGATACTGTATACTATTTGTAAGGGATGAAGTATAGCCTTGTGTAATTTATTTTTGGGGTAATCAAATTGGTTCATTGTGTCCTACAATTTAGGACGTACGGGTAAATTAGAAGGACAACACTCCAAATGCAGTTGTTATTATATATAGGATTTCAGAGGAGATGATTAGGGTTTGAACCTTGCGAAGAAGCTAGCTCGAAGGAATGTTCCTTTTCAAGGCAAACACCTCAAAGATGGTTCGGTATTAATTTAGGAAGTTTAATATTATGGTAAGACCAGGATCTGGTAGTGGAAGCACGACAATGTCTGTTTTATAGCATGATATTGCATGTGTGAGTTGCTATGTAGGATGGTTTGGCTCTTTCGAAATGGTGATGCCTTTTAGTTGATATATAATAATTTTGAGTCTCCACGATGATTAATTATTAGACAGAAAACCGTAGATAGTTACTATTATCTGCATTGTCAAGCTTCGGCATTGACATTTCCCAATTTTTCTTAGGTAGGATGACCTTGAAAATTCAAAATAACATGGGATAAGAATATCTCTTGAGAGGTTGGAGGCAATGGTTCTTAATATAGATGTGTCGTTGCAAAAGCGGTAAACGAAGCTTGTGGTTGGATAAATTTATGGGAGAATGAAAGAAAAAGAAAGATCAACAAGTGGGAGAAAAATGAGGCTTCTGTATGGAAACTAGAAAACAGTTATTACCTAGTTGTGGTCCTGCTTACATGAGATGCTGGAGGGAAAGACTGAAAGAGACCTGAACTGTGGTTTTGTATTGTACAAAGTGGCTGCTAGCAGATCGAACCTCTGCCCTTAAGCTTGTTAACCTGAACTTGTTAGCACAATTGATCTTAGGACTACTCCTGATGGCATGGTTCTAACAACTGCCTTTGACTTGGTGGACACCATTGATATAATCGCTGACAAGTTAATTAATTATTTAGTTCTTCTATGGCTTCTCGCTTAAGAAAGTTCCTTTTAATTGAATGTCCGTGTTGACTAAATTGTATTTCGACATTTGATTGATGCCACTTTGATGGCCATTTTTTGAATCTTTTTCGGATGCTATGTAGGATCTCTTTATTTGTGTGTGGAGCTGATCTTTGTCTGTACTCATATCTTATTGCATCTTGTGGCAGCTGTAGGTGTGCAAACCCTTGCCATCATACTGTCAGTTGGACATTTTTTTCCTTTCTCCTTGACGATCAATTTAAAGAACATTCTGGTTTGTTTTATTCTCTTCTTTTTCCTTCGGTTTTTTCTGTTTGCTTTGTTTTACTCTAAGGTCATATTGGGCCATCTCAATTCTCAAGTGACTGTAAGCAATATTATCTTGCATAAATATTGCAGCGGCAATGAGGAGTGGGTTCTAAAGCTTGTAGAGTACATTTCTGGTAGAAGATGGAAGTCTGTCCTGTCCTCAGTTCTAGTTATGGCTCAAAGCATCGCCCTTTGACTCCTCTTAGGGTTTTTAGGGGTTTGATGTGTTTAGTGATTCTTCTTTATACCGCGTTCATGTTTTTGGTGTATTTTGGTCCCCCGGCTATGATGTTGCGCTGTTTAACTATACGCTATAGTAGGAAAGCAATATCCTTCTTTTTTGGTATTTGGCTTTCTTTATGGCCCTTCTTATTTGAAAAGATAAACAGGACTGAAGTTATTTTTTCCGGAGAAACTGTTCCACCAAGGGAACGTGTCTTACTTATTGCCAACCACAAAACTGAAGTTGATTGGATGTACCTGTGGGATCTTGCAATGCGGAAGGGCTGCCTGGGCTACATAAAATATGTCCTTAAGAGCAGTTTGATGAAACTACCTGTTTTTGGTTGGGGTTTTCATATTTTGGAGTTCATTTCAGTAGAGAGAAAGTGGGAAATTGATGAACCAGTCATGCGTCAAATGCTTTCAACTTTCATTAATTCAGAGGATCCTTTATGGCTTGCTGTCTTCCCAGAAGGAACTGATTTTACGTAAATTCTCAGTGCCCTTGTTCTATGTACATGCACCTCTTCCACTAGTTACAAATATGTTTCTTTTTTGTCTTTTGAAGTAGCCTAATATCTTGATTAATTCCATTTAGTCTATAAATTACCTTTTTGTTTATAAATATATGAAGACATTCATGGCTCCCTAGTGTAGATCATAAGAATGCAACATTTGTGATCTCTGCATCTTTATCCATCTAGGACATATTTTTGAGCTTGCCAAATTTCAACTGTTAAGAACTGTTGGGGTAAAAGAGTTGGTGTTGGTGCCTATGCCTCATGGAAGATCCTAAGCTCTAGTATCTTCCTGCCCGTATCCCCAAAGGGCCAGCCACCTTATTGGGTTTTTCTGGGTAATGACCCTAACCGTATCTGGAGATTAGTTGTGGGGCAAACGGTCTGGCGTACCTCGTCAGCCATTAAATAAATAAAAAATTGTTATGACTTGTGCACTTTTGTCATGTTTCACTATCCATTCATATTTTTTGCCTTCCCATACAGTGAAGAGAAGTGCAAAAGGAGTCAAAATTTCGCAGCTGGAAATGGATTGCCTGTGCTGAAGAATGTGCTGCTTCCAAAAACAAGAGGCTTTTGTACTTGCTTGGAAATTCTGAAGGGCTCCTTGGATGCAGGTTGTTATTCTCATATATGTTCTCAATATATATATATATATAATTGGTTGCATTACTTCTAGATATATCCTGAAGTGAAGGCATTTAATAATGGCAATGTGCATGTGTGCTTATAAACAAACTTACTGAGATGGGAGATATTTCCATCGTATTTAGAAAGGGCTTGACTTTTTTCCAGTTATTTAATTCCTTGCCTTGAAATGTAGGAAAAGGACTAACCATCAGCTGAACCACACAGTGGATTTATGTACAAAAATCATTTGGTTTTGAAAATTTCAACCACATTTGATTTAAACAAATTTGAGGGTGAAAACCCCATATAAGAATGTCTGAAAAAAAGGGTAAGTGAATAAATGGCTTAACCATCTTATCAGGCTGATTGTTTTGTATGGTTGATATGCTAGATGATGTGCAATATAGCAGTAAGTCCTAGAACTTATTATAGGTTCATAATGGTAAGGAGGTGAGCTCAGCAAAGAGGTTGGGATTCGCACGTTATGTTATGTTGACGTAGAGTTTGGGATTTGTTTTCTTTTAAATTACGAAATAACAAGTTGGTTTTTTTGGTTTGGGTCAGGAATGGGTTTTCTAGATCGTGCTGGATTTTTGTGACATCAAGACGTAGAGTTTTTATTATTCTAAAATTTATGAAATCTTGTGAAGGGGATAACATCCTAAAATTCACTTTTAAGTTTTTAAACTCAGGGCAAAGACACTACCAACCAAGTCACCACTAGAACCACCTACAATTTTTGTTATTTCACCATCCTCTTACAATTTACCATCTCCATCAGTGCTAACGCCTAATGACCATATCTACTTCTACAGCCATTGCCATTACTGCTGATGGCAATGGTTCTAGCAGTGGAATTGGTTACCACTGTACTTACAGCAACAGCTGCTGCTGCTGCCTCCACTATTGCCACCGTTGCAGCACTAATGCAACCACCATCAACAGCATCATTTAAACCCTTTACCGCTAGCACAACCAATGCCTTTCACAATAATGCTGATTTCTGCCACTACCACCTTCATTACTATGATGCTGTTGCCCTTTTACTACCATCATTAAATCGATTTTCCATACAAAAGGCTATTGATTTGATAATAAGACCACCACCAAGTCCACAGTCTCTCTACTTGACACTTCTACCCCATCGCCATAGGTGCATCTACCGCCCTTATCCGCAATTGCTACTTTACTTAGACCAATGTTACCATACTTCCACCACTAGCACTAACACCATCTTTATTACTCTCACGACTACTGCTGCCATGCTGCCACCACAACCCACCCACCACCATATACAAAATCTTACCATAGGTAGAGGAAAAGAACCATAGATATAAAGAAGACAATGCACACTGTTGCGGTGTTGCCTAATTTTGCTCTCTAAAGATGAATTTTTAGATATTTATTATTATTTATATGATATGCATTGTCCACATCCTTGGATCAGTTACAAATGATATATTACCAGATGATCTTGATTCATTCTACAGTAACTTTTCTTAACACATTGGTTTGGAATTTCCCATTTGGACTGCAAATGAATCAAGCCACTCATGAACACCTCAAGAGTAGCTTGTTCAAGCTCGTTTATCATTATCAAGGACAGATTGAAATAAAGCCACATTTTCAGGCCTATTCAATAGATTCATGAAACTCGTTGAATTAAAAGGAGAATAGTTACTTGATAGGAGCTTTTATCTATGATTGCTGTTAGAATTTTAAATTCTGAACTATAGTTTTGTTCTTTTTCTCACTACTTTTCCTTCCCATGTGCCATTAATCATTAATTCCATTAAAAATAGCTTAAAGATTTAGGCTGGCCAAATGTAAGAGTTAGCATCACATGGGAATTGGGAAGGAGTCAGAAATCTAAACCATTGGGCCAAAGTAATGGGAAGCATCACCGTGATAACAAAAAATTCTTTGATATGCAAAAAATGAAGTTATAGACACCTGGTTATTCCCAAATCAAAATGTATTTCTAGACAACTGCACTTTCCTTTTCTAAAATATTAATATCAATTCCTCTGACTTGAGCTCACTTGAAAAAACAGCTGTGTTACTTGACATGAACAACTTCTGATACTCTGAATTCAGCAGGTGATGCAATATTTGTTTTAACTTTCCTTGCTTGGTGTTTGCGCCAATTCATCTTTGGACCTGCGCATTATATACTTGTTAAAATTGTTGATGATTGAAGAATGTGATCCTTGTGTGCCTGTATTTTGAAAGGCCACCGGAATTTTACAAATTTGATGCATCTTTATTGTGATACGGAGATTGTGAACACTCACTCACTCACTCAAGTGCCAGTGGTGATGCCAACTGAACTCTTATCTTTATTGGATGTTTCGGTCCTTTACTTGTCTGCTATTTTGAACTTTTGTCATTTTCTGACGGGTTAATCATGCGGAGATTTATGTCTCTGGATATGCTAACATCAAAGACTTAGTGAAGTGACAATTTCCTAAATCAAAGTAGCAGTTTATGACACATTCATTTTGAAAGATTTACAAGTTTAGTTTACTTTCGATGTGTTCATTTCGTACATATTATGCTTATAATTTATATTATATGCTTTACTTATCAGAAAAAAAAAAATTTATATTATATGCTTCAATTCACAATTGAACATTTCTTGATGATCAATTTCTTTTGAAATCATTGTTGTCTTTAATATCTCCAAATATTTCTTCAAATGTTTCTTTTTGTCAAATTATTTCAGTTTATGACATTACTATCGCGTACAAGCACGGATACCCTTCTTTCTTGGACAATGTCTTTGGCATCGACCCTTCAGAAGTTCACATACATGTTCGACGCATCCCTGTGGAGGAGATTCCAGCATCTGAAAGTGAGGCGGCTGCTTGGTTGATAGATGTGTTCCAGCTCAAGGATCAATTGCTCTCAGATTTCAGTGTTCAAGGTCATTTCCCCCATCAAGGAACAGAAGGAGAACTTCCAACATTGAAGTGCTTGGTAACTTTTACAGTACTAGTTACTTTGATTGGCATGTTTACATTCCTTACCTTTTGCTATTCCGTTTGGTTTAAAATTTACATAGGTTTGTCTTGTACATATCTTGCTTCTGCTACTTATCTCAATATCAGAACATCGCCAGCTCTGGGCTTTGTTAAACCAATGATATGTTGTGAGAGAACAAAGAAGTGAACAGCTAGTCTATAAAGTTTTTTGAATCATTGTCTCTGTTGTGGGTGAAGAAACCTGTAAAATCGTTTGCCTCCTGGGATTTTCTATTCTTGCGAACCTGCGTCTGGGATTGTTAATTTTCAGAATAAAAATGCTCAGTCCCTTCTTCCAGAAAGCAACTTTGTGAGGCCTAGCATGCGTATACTGTCATCAAGAGAAATGTTTTGTGGAACTTTGTATTTTGTTGCTACTTAATTCATGGTTACGTTTCATCTTAAGATTTGAAGTTGCAGTTACTCCCCATACTTAGAGAGATTTTTGGCTAAAATTACTACCCAAAGGTTTTAGCTAGACCAACTATTTGATTTTTTTCATGAGTAAACTATAAACTCTAAAAACAGCAGCCTCTATGGCATTGAGATTTAATATAAAACTCTAATAATGAATAAGATATATCTAAATTTCTTCAATAATATTGGCCAAACTTGTATTCTTATAATATATATATTTAAATTGAATAAAGAAATAAAGTATGAAGAACACAAAGGCAAGGATATACGTGGTTCAGCCACTAAGGCTTACATTCATGGCACACAAAGCCCAAAAGGCTACATATATTGTATTATAATAATCTCTCTTTTCATAATGAATACAATGGTGAAAACTCCTCTATATAGGTGAAGAAATGATGAAAATGGAAAGAGAGAAAATAGGAAACAACATTAATACTGACAGATATTCCTCCACTAATTCCTTTTGTATCTTCAATATTAAGAAACATCAATGCTGCAGGATTTTCCTCCATTGATTCCTCTAATAATAATAACAGTAAATCTTCAACAATATATATATATATATATATATATATATATATATATATATATATAAGAAGTTTAAACTTTTAGGGGTAGAACATTAGGTCTCAATGCCTACACCTCAGGAAGGGCAAATTCCTCAGTTGTAAGAAAGGTATAGTTTTATTATTCTTGGAAACACAATGGATCAACCCTTGGGAAACTTGCAGAATTTGAAACTGTGGGATCGCTAATTTAATTCTTTTTTTCTTTCCCCAGCAAATAAAGGGAACACTACATAAACCCATGTTCACAATCATCGTGAACACAAAAACACATATCCATGGGGATACAAACTAAGACCTCCAAACTGAGGATGAAGAGGAATGCTCGAAAGCATAGCGACATGAAATTTAATTGCAGTATCATCCACTGGGCTTGGTTATCTTTTGCTGGAACAAAGTGTGTTAAAGGAGGCATAGAGGCCACCTTTGGGCCAGGCTTTGTAATGACAATTCGGCTGGAGGAGACACAACAAAGCAGGCTCAACAAGTCCATATGATATTTGGAACTCTTGCAGCTACTAGAATAATCAGTCGGGCCCACTGCACCACTCCTAGCGTGGTCAACACGAAAATAGGAACACACAATCATTATTGGCTCACATAGCATCATCTCGACCGGGATAACAAGACCCCAACGTCGGTGACCTAGACGACAAAGATAGAGAAATTTCCAGAAGGTAAACTATAAGAGCAATTCTATATCCAACATGTTATACTTATGGCTCAAATTTTGCCAACTCAGCAAGTTTATTTCATCACCCATTACATCATTCTCTGCATCATCAACTTGGCCTCCAAGAATTGTGATCAATAATCTTTCCTAGCTATGCGTGGTCACTAAGCAGCCCGGCCCATGTGTGATCAGCAAGATAAATGCTTGCTCAACAAGCATATATTGGTATCCTTTGGCTATAAATAGCCATGTATCTCATGCATCTAAGGCATCCAAAAATTGAGAGTGTTTACTCAATACAATAAAGTGAAAGTGTGTGAGAGCTTGGGTGTATTTGGGTTTTGGGTGTGAACCACTTAGCCTTGTATCTCTTTATTTCTATAGTGAAATATTGTTCTGTTTTCTTCTCGTGGACGTAGGCACAGCTGAATTACGTAAATCCTTGCCTCGTTTGTGTGCGTGCTATTTTATTTTCTTGTCATTTATTTTTTCTCTTGTTCTCATAAACCCTTATCCGATCTTTATTCCGTAACAAACTGGTATCAGAGCTCGGTTTGTGTATTGTGTACAGATACTGTTATCGCATATGGTACTGTTCACACATACTATTCGAGTACTGTTCACAAATACGGTACTATTCACCGAGAATTTTTTTTGGGAGTTTTATGAGATGTCGACCAGATACGAGATTAAGAAATTTGATGGCAAGATTAGCTTCAGTCTTTGGCGCATCAAGATGCAGGCTCTACTGACTCAGCAAAGTCTAAAGAAGGTGTTATTCAGAAAGGACAAGTTGCCAGAAACTATGTCCAATGAGACAAGGATGAGGTCGATGAAAAGACGCACAGTGCGATTCTCCTGAATCTAGCCGATGAGGTGCTACGTGAAGTTATTGATGAAGACACGATAGCAAAGTTGTGGCTGAAATTGGAGAGTCTGTACATGACGAAGTCTCTCACCAATAGACTTTACTTAAAACAGAGACTCTTCACCCTTCGTATGAAGGAAGGTATGCCTCTAAAGGAATATGTTGATAATTTTAATTCTATTATTATGGATTTGAAAAATACTGATATTAAAATTGATGAAGAAGATCAAGCCCTTGCTTTGTTGTGTTCTTTGCCTCATTCCTATGAGCATTTTGTTACCACATTGCTCTATGGAAAAGACACCATTAGTATGGAGGATGTTAAATCCTCACTGAACTCTCAAGAGTTGAGAAAAAAGGTGTTTGGAAATAATGGAGATGAATAGGTCGAGGGTCTGATTGTGAGGGGAAGAAGTGAGAAAAAGGGTTCTGGTAGTAGGGGCAAATCAAGATCAAAATCTAGGTCTCATAAAGATACTGAATGTTATTATTGTCACCAAAAATGGCACATTAAGTGGAATTGTCCAAAATTGAAAAATAAGAAGAAAGATAAAAAGGATAAAAAGAAGTTTAAGGATAAATCCACTAGTAATTCTTCTGATATTGCTGGGATTGCCGAGGAAAGTTCCTCGAATGTCGAAAATGTTCTTTCAGTTTTTGTCAATGATTGTCACTCTAGTAGTGAATGGGTTCTTGATTCTGGTTGTTCCTATCATATATGTCCCAATAGGGACTGGTTTTCTTCTTATTGTTCTGTTGATGGTGGTACTGTCTTAATGGGGACAATCCCTGTAAGACTGTTGGAATAGGCACAATCCAAATTAAGATACATGATGGTATTGTTCGAACTTTAACTGATGTTCGGCATGTTTCAGATTTGAAAAAGAATTTGATTTCTCTTGGTACTCTTGACTCTAATGGTTGCAAGTTTTTAGCTGAAGGTGGAGTTTTGAGAGTTTCTAAAGGTGCTTTTACTATGCTTAAGGGAAAATAGAGAAAATGCCTCTATTTTTTGCAGGGTAGTACTGTGGTAGACGTTGCTTCAGTATCTTCTTCAGTTAATCAAGATTCAGAAATTATCCATCTATGGCATATGCGTTTAGGGCATATGAGTGAGAGGGGTTTGACAGAATTGAGCAAACAAGGTTTGCTAGGTGGATAGAAGACAGGAAAGCTGGACATTTACGAGCATTGTGTCTTTGGCAAGCAGAAAAGACTTAAGTTCAGTACAGCTGTTCACAGGACCAAGGGCGTTGTTGATTACATTCATTCAGATCTTTGGGGTCCTTCCAGAGTTCCCTCTCCTGGTGGTTCTTGATATATGTTGACTTTCATTGATGACTTCTCCAGGAAAGTCTGGATCTATATCTTGAAGCAAAAACATGAAGTGTTCCTTAAGTTTAAACAGTGGAAAGCCATGATTGAAAAGCCGACTGGAAAGAAGATCAAGCGTCTCAGAATAGATAACGGTTTAAAATTTTGCTCAGGAGAATTTGACGAGTTCTGCAGTAATGAAGGCATTGTCAGACACCATATAGTTCAAAAGACTCCACAACAGAACGGTGTAGCAGAACGCATGAATAGAACTCTCTTAGAAAGAGCTCGTTGTATGCTTTTCAATGCTGGGTTGTCTAAGGGATTTTGGGCTGAAGCAGTCAACACAGCTTGCTATCTGGTGAACAGGTCACCATCGATTGCTATTGAGTGTAAAACACTTGAAGAGGTATGGTCTGGTACTCCTGCTGATTATTATAATTTAAGAGTTTTTGAATGTTCTGCTTATGCTCATGTTAATGAAGGAAAACTTGAGCCTAAAGCCAAGAAATGTATTTTTATTAGCTATGCATCCGGGGTGAAAGGATACAGGTTGTGGTGTCCTGATCCTAAGTCACTTAAGTTTATTACCAGCAGAGATGTTACTTTTGATGAGTTTGCCTTACTTCACCCGAGAAAGGAGTCTTTTGTTACAGGTGAATCTCAGGGTGTTAAACAGCAGGTGGAACATGACTTTGAAGCTCCAGAGAAACAAGTCAACACTCCAGTTCAGCCCAATGTTGAAGAGGTGCAGGATGATCAAGTACCAGATGAGTAACAGTACAATATTGCTACATGGAGACAAAAAAGACAGATTAAACCACCTAAGAATGCTTATGCAGATTTAACTGCTTATGCTTTGTCTGTGGCAGAAAATATTGAAGATAAAGAGCCTTTCACCTACTAAGAAGCTGTTACAGGAAATGAATCTGCCAAGTGGACTGTTGCTCGAATCTCTTCACAAGAATCAGACATAGGAGTTGGTGAAACCTCCTAAAGGCCAGAAGATTGTTGGTTGCAAATGGATTTTCAAGAAAAATGAAGGAACTCCAGGTGTTGAAGATGCAAGGTACAAAGCACGTTTGGTGGCAAAGGGTTATAGTCAAAGAGAAGGTGTGGATTTCAATAAAGTATTCTCACCAGTTGTGAAACACACCTCTATCCGCGTGTTGCTTGCCATGGTTGCTCTATTTGACTTAGAGATTGAGCAACTTGATGTCAAAATAACTTTTCTACATGGTGAGCTTGAAGAAGAAATTTATATGCATCAGCCAAAGAGGTTCGTTGTTTAGGGAAAGGAAGACCAATTTGTTTGTTGAAGAAATCCTTGTATGGA